CGCCTCTCCTCGCCTCTCCTCTCCTCTCCTTGCCTCTCCTCTCCTCACCTCTCCTTGCCTCGTCTCTCCTCGCCTCTCCTCTCCACTCCTCACCTCTCCTCTCCTCTCCTCTGCTCGCCTCTCCTCGCCTCGCCTCTCCTCTCCTCTCCTTGCCTCTCCTCGCCTCTCCTTTTCCTCCCTTCCCCTCTCCCTTTCTTCTCTTTCCCTTTCCTTTTCCTTTGCTCTCCCTCTCCTCTTCCCTTCTCCTCTCTTTCCTTCTTCTCCTCTCTTCCTTTTGATGAGGTCTTATTATGAAGCCCAGGCTGTGGCCTTAAAGTCTTGATTCTCCTGCTTCAGCCTCCCAGGGTGTGTACCACCATGCCTAGCTAAATAACTCTTTGCCATGTGTATGTGTATTTGTGTGTGTGTGTGTGTGTGTGTGTGTATTCTTCTTTGAAGAGAGATCTAATGTTAGCAAAGATGTAATAGAATGAGCACTTGTATTTTTTTTTTTCAGTCCTGGGGATCTAACTCAGGGTTTGGGCACTGTCCCTAATCTGCTTTTGCTCAAGGGTAGCACTCTACCACTTGAGCCACAAAGCCACTTCCAGCTTTTTCTGTTAATGTGGTACTGAGGAATCACAGGGCTTCATGCATGCTATGCAAGCACTCTGCCACTAAGCCATATTCCCAGCCCAGCACTTGTTTTCTGATGAGAATGTGTGCTTTTTGAACTTCGATGTACCTATAAATCCGGAGACCTTGTTAAAATTGTAGATCCTATGCTGGATGTGGTAGGACACATCCATAGTCCTAGCTACTCAGGAAGCTGATAGAAGAGAGTTTTAAGCCTAGGAGTTTGAGGCAAGCTTGGGCAATGTAGTGAGACACCCTCATCTTAAAAAACAAAATTAAGAAAAAAAAACATATTCTGAGGGTTGGAGATGTAGCTCCGTGGTAAATACTTGCCTAGCAGATAAGAGACCCTGGGTTTGATCCAGCACTGTGAAAGGGGAGGAAAGGCAGATTTTTGAGTTTGAATCTGGGAAGGGGGTTTGAGAATCTTCATTTCTAATGCTACTTTGCTATAGCATGGTTCTAGAACATACCCTTTGATCTGATAACTTTAGGAATTTATTCTGCAGAAAGTAATCAGAGCTGCCTCTAGTAGCTAGTACTTCCTGTGTCCCCAGATAGTTTTTCCATAGATCCTCATAATAAACAAATCTATAGAGTAGATATAAATATAACCTTCACTTTTCAGATGAAGAACATAATGTTTCATAGAAGTTAAGTTGCCCAAGACCACACAATTGAGAGATGACTGAGTCAGGGCCTAGTAGAGGGAGGTTTCTGATTCTCATCTGCTATGAAATGTTGTTTCTTTACCAAGTGTACCAGATTTACCTACAAATTATGTGTATTACATAGCTTTTATGAAACAGCTCCATATCAGTAGGGCATACCACCATTCAGTAACTACAGAGCTTCTGACAAGAGGAAATGTTTATGAAACAATATTAAATGGCAAAAAGCCAACTTTAATATTGTGATGCCAGGTTTATAAACACAAAACAGAAACCCTCTGTTTGTATTCTGTGTATATATGCATTTTTAAAAAGCCAAAGGAAAATCACCAAAATGTTCAAATGATTATCACAGAGTAGTTTGATTATGCAGGATTTCAGTTTCTTTCCTTATAGTGTTCTTCATTCCCTATTTTCCCCTGCCCTCCTCTCCTCTTCCCTTCATCTTTTCCCTCTCCCCCCACCCATCCTTTGAAAAAAGGAAGAAACTCCTCTCCTCTGCTCCCCACTTCTCTCTACTCTCTCTCACTTTGCTAAATGACATTCTTCCCCTTCATGATGAACTGAAACCATAAGCCAAAACAAATCTTTACTCCTTTAAAGTTTTGGGCTCAGTTTATTTTGTCATAGTGATGAAAAACAGACATATATTGCTGAAAGTTATTGTTTTGCTCAGTACTGATGGCTTAGGCCTATAATCCTAGCTACTGAGAAACTGAGATCTGAAGATTGCAGTTCAAAGCCAGTCTGGGCAGGAAAGTCCTTGAGACACTTATCTCCAATTAACTACCAAAAAGCTGCAAGAGTTGCTGTGCTCAAGTGGTAGAAAACCAGCCTTGGGGAAAAAAAGCTAAGGATGAGCACTCTGGTCATGATTTCAAGTTCCTAGTACTGGCACAAAAAAAGAAGTTATTATTTGCTTTGGTATATCTTTGAACTTTATATTTTCCTTCTAATGGATGAGTAAAATTCCATGTGTATACTATACATACCACATGTTTTATAAAACACTCATCTATTGTAGGGTTTCTGGGCTGTTTCCCTAAACTTGTCTATTGTGAATAGTGCAGCAATAAACATGGATGTGTAAGTGTCTTTACTACATCCTGACTTGTAATATTCTAGATGTTCTGGGTAGATACCAAGAGTGGTATTGCCTGGGTCATAGGGGAGTTCTATGTTTAGTGCAACAGCTAAGATTCAAGTTTGTACCTAGAGTGGAATTTCTAGGTGGTAGAATATATTTATTTTCCACTCTAATGGTTAACACATCATTTTCCCAAATGATTGGATCAATATAAACTCTCAAATGTAATGTTTAACAATTCCTGTTTCTTTTCTTGCTTGCCAGTATTTGGTAAGATACTTCTTTGTAATCAAAAAGGCAATGGGTTACAGATACCTTTTTAGAAAACTAGTTTTGGAGCTATTTATTAAGAAACACAAATTATTTATTAAGAAACGCAAATTAAGCCAGGCACCTGTAGTTACTCAGAAGACTGAAATCTGAGGGTTTATGTTGGAAGCCAGCTCAGGCAGGAAAGTGTGAGTTTTAGCTCCAATTAACCACCAAAAAGCTGGAAGTAGAGATTTGGCTCAAGTGGTAGAGCACTAACCTTGAGCACAAAAGCTTAGGGACAGCATCCAGGTCCTGAGTTCAAGCCCCAGGACCAGCACACAGAATAAGAAAGAAATGCACATTTGAATGCATGCTTCCATTGACTGGTGGTGATCTATATCTTTGCAGGTATGCAAACAGTAGCCTCATAAAGTACATGGAGAAACACAAAGTCAAGCCTGACAGCAAAGTGTTCCTCTTGGTAGGTACTTCTCTAACAGATTGAAGTCTGATCTTAGCACAACCCTAACCACACTTTGTTTTCTATGGATTTGTCCAGTGGTTGTTCCTTTTGAAATAAAAGACACTTGGCCAGGCACCGGTGGCTCACACCTGTAATCCTATTCAAGAGGCTGAGATATGAGGATCCCGGTTCAAAGCCAGCCCGGACAGGGCAGGAAAGTTTGTGAGACTCTTGTCTCCAATAAAGGACCCAGAAAACTGGAAGTGGTACTGTGACTCAAGTGGTAGAGTGCTGGCCTTGAGCAGAAGAGCTGAGGGACAGCACCCAGGCCCAGAGTTCAAGCCCCACGACCAACCAAAAAAAAAAAAGAGAAAAGAAAAAAGAAATAAAAGATACTAGAGGTTGGTTGTGAGGACAATATTAAGTATTTTTCTGTTGCGATATCATCCTTGACTTAAAATGTATGCTTAACAATGAGTTAGCAACCAAGGAATCATTTTAGAAGGCTTTAATAATGATGATTTCTTCACATAAATATGTGCATAATAAAGTAATTGTGCAGTGTACAATTCAACATGTACTTGATATTAGTCCTGTTAGACATTAATACAAAAGTCAGAACATTGACTCATAAACATTCTCATATGTTATCAAATTCTTCTGTGTTGCTCTAGCTTCAAAAACTTCTTACTATGGATCCAACCAAAAGAATTACTTCAGAGCAGGCTCTGCAGGACCCCTATTTTCAGGAGGACCCCTTGCCAACATTAGAGTATGTATCCTTCTTCCCTCTTCTATTTACTTTGCTCTAGGTTGAAGATGTTTCATGGTGGCTGAAAACAAGGGAAGCACCTGTTACTAAAGTAGTTGACTTTCTTCAATAAAGCTTCCTCATAGAAAAAAAAACCAAACTGCTAAAGAGAAGGGACCCAATTTTTGAAATAGGACAGTCTATGAACAAAAACAATGAATGACCAGTAATCAGTTTTACAGATGCAAGTTAAAGCAATAATAGATGAGACTCTTATAGATCAATCAGCTAAATCAGAGGTTAAACCAAACCAGTAGGCAATGGTAAACTTAAAATTTACTGTTTCAGAACATTTCCACAGCACTGCAAAACCTCTCTGTTGTTGTATCCTTATTTCACTCATGTATGTACTTTGAGTTTATATTGATTAGAAGTACATTTTGCCTGGTACCAGTGGCTCAGACCTGTAATCCTAGCCACTCAGGAGGCTGATATCTCAGGATCTCAGTTTGAAGCCAGCCTGGGCAGAAAAGTCTATGAGACTCATATCACCAACTAACCACAAAAAGCCAGAAGTAGAGCTGTGGCTTGAGTGGTAGAGTGCTAGCCTTGAGCAAAAAAGCTGAGGGATGGGGCTGGGAAGGTGGCTCAGTGGTAGAGTGCTTGCCTTGCATGCATGAGGCCCTGGGTTCGATTCCTCAGCACCACCTAAGCAGAAAAAGCTGGAAG